ATGCGTTGGTGCGTGAAATTTTTAACTGTTTTCCAATGTTTGAACTATTTTTGCATAAAGTACAAAAATCATTAATAGGCAATCGTTCCATGGGCTGAATTGCACAAAACGCATGGTCGCACCGGCTAGTCTGGTGCGTGTTGCTATTTATTACAATTAGCATTCATCCATTGCTGACAGCTTATTTAGATTTAGATATTTTATGGTCATGGAAAAGTTCGTAAAAGCCCATATTAAAGGAGGCCCATATTAAAAGAATGATGTACGGATACTCTTAGTGCACCTGGCATCCCTTCCATAGCTGCCACAGTGCATGATTTGTGAGATCGACTATATAAAGCGAAGTATTCATTTGTGCCTAATTGAGATCTTTCCATATCACATTGGAACTGAAGCGGTCATTCTCTGTTTGTGTGTAAATGCGGCAAGCTTATGATTCTATCAGTTTGAAATCAAATTTTTTCCAGAAATGGTCATCAGTGTGAAATGAAGTTGATTATTTTGGTTATTTTAGGCATCGGCTTTCAACTCATGGTTTGAAAATGCGGAGGAGGATCTGACGGATCCGGTCAGATGCAATTCACTGGAAGAGATCAGTGCACTGCGTGAAGCTCATGCGGAATTCCACAAATCTCTATCAACGGCAGAGGAGGATTTTGGCCAACTGCAAGAGCTTGATAAACAAATCAAATCTTTCAATGTGGGCCCAAATCCATACACCTGGTTCACCATGGATGCACTCGAAGAGACTTGGCGCAATTTGCAGAAAATCATCAAGGTTGGCCTGTGTTCCTAATTTCGTAATGTGTATAATACGTGCGAGCATTTTTTAGCATATGCAGCAATTTCTCAACCACTGAGATGGCGTAGTTTTGTTGGATTAACAATTTGAACCGTATGTGTTGTAAGATCAAATCTGCTGGCACTCGTCGAACTTCTCAGAAATTGTTGATGATAAACGAGTCCAAATTTTTTTGAGAGATTATCAGTTAAGAGTTCTTTATTAGCGGCACTGAGGTAATGGGAAGTGAAAAATTTTGTTGCTGTCGAAAAGAGGTCGAGGATTTTTTAGAAAATTTCGAGATGAGCGGTGTCAGTGCCAACCAAGAAAAGGGACAAAATTTGCCTATCATTCTCAGTGAACGACCATTCAG